AGCAATGGAGAACCACCAACAATACTCCTGGCTTTATGTAGGGATTTTTATGACAAGACTGTCTGAACTAAACATGCCAATTCACTTGCCATTGACTCTCGTAATTCTGGAAGGCAGTTGCAAGTTCCGTCTTTCTCAGTGACATCTCACATGATCGACTGTGAAGCCACATGTAGTCTGAAATTACAAGCAATGCTGATTGAGTCCTTTATCAAGTTTTTGGGCATTCTATTGCTCCTTGAAATCAGTAAAAAAATTTGATTATTTTTTTCTAATAACCAGTAGCATAAATCTATAAGCAAAGCTTGAGTGTTATATGCCAGTTTGACCCTTTGCTCATTTTGAGTGGACATTTCTCTGAATACAGTAAAAGTGACCCATTGAAAACAAGCACATACTAACAATGTGTTTAAAGAAAATATTGAAAATGCAAAAAATATGCAGTCAAAAGTTTGTTTGTTTTTTCATGTTTTTTTAAAGGAAATTATTCTGTTCATCAAGGCAGCATTTATTAAATGTAAAAAATATGTTAAATTGTTAAATATTTATTGCATTTTTAAATAACTGCTTTCTTATTGTATGTGGTTTCAAATGAAACTATTAGTCCAGTCATTATTGCTTTTATTACTATTTCCATTAATAATAATAATAATAATAATAATAATAATAATAATAATGAAGCTGAAAATTCATCAAAATCAGCTGAAGATTCAAAATCACTGGAATAAATTATTAAATAAAATAATGAACTACTTTTGAACAGTTATTTTATAGTGCAATAACATTTCAAATTATTTTTGATTGAATAAATGCAGCCCTGGTGAGCAAGCTTATTTTAAAACATTAAAAAAAAAAACTTACTGACCCCACACTTCTGACTGTTAGTGTATATGTGCCAAAAAATGAATAATTAAAAGACTAGTATTTTCAGCAACCAAAGTATAGTTGACAAGTGCTGCAGTTTCCACTACATATGGCAATACATCTAAATGCACCTTTAACCTGGGGTAGAGCAACGTCACATTGCAGCAGTGCTGCTCTCCATCAGCTTAAAGCTACCCTGATGTTGATTGTTGAGTGTGAGCATGATCAGGACAGTTTGCCAGATGTTCTCACAGTCAGCTCCTCCACCTTTGGCTGAAGCTTTAGCTGTGTCATCCTGACAAATGATCCTAAAGAACATTATGCTAACCAGAAAGTATACGGCATTGGAGTCATTAAAGTTTTTGAGGTTTCGACAAAGACTTTCATTTCGCAACTTATAAATCAAAACCACAGTCATCTACAGGACATTATCCCACCTCAATAGTGTGCAATGCTTCATTTATTAGCATCTAAACAAACTTAACAAGATAGGCACATGATTAGAGGGGCATTTTGCTCCTTGCCTCCCTTATTGACTGTGAGAGCATGTTTGTAATGGAACTTTCCTGTTCGTGACTTTTATGTTAGTAAGGCATCCATGTGCATGACCGCGGCATGGCACTGGCTTGCGGAAACGTTGCCAATTATGCTGACTACATTCCTCCCTCAGCTCCACCCCCGACCCACTCACTCATCTGAGACGCCTGTGTTTGTCCAACCAGTTGTTTTGCAAGATGAAATGGCAGCAAATCAAGCGTTCGAGTCAAATGGTTCTCATGTGTTTCCCTCACATTTGTGCGCTACATGCTTTCTCCAACAGAGCGCCTCTTTTTCATGTCTTTCCCTCTCTGTTATGTGGTTTCTCTCGTCCTCAGGCTTCCACTTTGTTTACTGACAAACCATATTGATAAAAAAAAATCTAACAAAACCAGTATTGTTTCTATAATGAGTTTCTGCAATAGCAGAGTTGTGATTATCCGTATTTGGGAGAAAAAAACATCGGCCCACTTTCTTGCTGTGTGATGGTGTGAATTGCAGAGGACTTTGTTGATAAATTCGCACAAAACCTCATATATGTTTTTCTATCCACTATCAACCTTGCAACGTTCTACTGTGGCTTACGGTATTCATTTGTGTTACTTCTGCAAAGCTCTGCCGTTCGCGGGCTTATAAGGGATATGAGATGAATTAGCTGCCATTTCCAGACATCAGCTTTACAATGGCTCGGTGGGACGCTGCTTCTCATGGTGACAGGGAAATGATCCTTCCCTTATTAAACGCCTCCATCCTTATAAAGGTGGGTAATATAGTCTCCCGCTTTTACCTGGAGGTTGGGAGCCGCATTAAATATTAATTAAAAGTCACATCAGGAGCGGCACGCTTATATCAGTCTTCCCAGTCTTCAGGCAGAGACGGAAGCGATAAGTAACTTTATTACCTTCATCGTGGATGAAGGGGAGGAATAAGGAGGAAAAAAAACAGGACTAAGGAGAGGAAGGAGATTCATCTGTTGTGCAGACACTTTCGTGATTCTGTGACGAAACTGATTTCGCTATGTGAATAGGGGTTTTGTGGGTTAGAGAGAGAAAAAAGAGAGAGATTATTGCAGAAATACAAGAGTACTCCGTGCTTTGAGCTGAGGTGAAAAAGCGAAAACGAGGGCGGGGACTTTTGTGGTGTAGATTGGGGCTCTGAGATGCTTCCAGTGTTTAATTAAATCACTGGGGTTTGAGACTCACGTCCTGTGCCCAGAATCAACCTCCCCTTGTTTACGGTGTCCTGTTAAGGAATGTATTGATGTATCGATAAACATCCCTCCGTCAAGGTTTTAATGAAGCTAAGCTAAATCTTTATTAAACATACTCTTTGAGTTAGACTCAAACTTTTTAATTAACCAAGTTCGGAGGAGGCATTACACTTGGGTTTTTTTTTCTCTAGTTTGGGCATTAGCTTGTCTCAGGGGCTGGCTTTTATTAAACTTGCAGATCTTAACTTGTTTCTTTTCTTTGTCATGTGAAGGTCACATTTAAACTAGTTCCTTTTGAAGCTACCCCTTTTCACAGACCCTGAAGAAAATTCATCCTATATGGTTTAGAAATGCATGTCATACAGTTGATCTCATTGAATGATTCATCTATATTTTGTCAAGTGAATTTGTTTCTATAGCACTTCATACAATATAGCTTATAAAAGAAGCTTTAAGTGGCGTATAGTATGCAGTTATTCCATCTACTTAAACCCTGTTACTTTCTTACAATTGACTTCAATCTCGCATTCACATCTACCTGATAGAAACGTTCTTTATTCCTAACCAGCCATGACACTGATATACAACAAGCTTACAGAGACCATTTCAAAAAGCACTTCTATTTCTGCTGGAATATTAAACAAATAATGAAAATCACGGGTGCTGAATATGTCTTTTAAAAATAGTGAAATGGTTTCGCATTTACGAGCTTGGTCATGTATGTTTTTTTTCATTTTATTGAGGGTTCAGTGCAGTTGCAGAGAGAGTCTGTCTACACAATCTTCTGACTGGCTGTAAGTCTGTATTTCACTGATTTTGTGGTGTAGGGATAATTAACAGTTTTAACTCAAAAAGGACCAGTCTGTCAGATGAAGAAGAGCCGGAGTCAGAGATTAACTTAAAAAGAAAGTTTACTGAAGATAATTTGCAGTGTCATCAGCAGAAGCCAGCTTCAAAACTCGCAAATGAGTTTGTAGGCTGCTCTCCTCTCTGTGTGCGTACACTTCTGAACGATATCGCAATATCTCAAGCATACAAACGTTAGACAGGCACTAGGCTGTTCAAAGCTGACCCCAGACCTGTGAAACCATCCATAACATCCATAACATATCGGGGTGCCCATTTCTTATGAAGGCCCAAAAACCTAACTTGATTGAGGGGGGTGGGCTGAAGTTAAATAAACCAAACTATTACATTAAAGCTACCATGGTATTTTCCTAAAAATACTTTAATCATATATATATATATATATATATATATATATATATATATATATATATATATATATATATATATATATATATATATATATATATATATGATATATATATATATATATATATATATATATATGATATATGATATATATGTTTGTGTGTGTGTGTGTGTGTGTGTGTGTGTGTGTGTATGTAAATGTATGTTTTACATTTTATAAAAAGCTTTTTAGATTTTTATGTTGTTCAATGCTGATTTCATTGAATACACTTGATTTGCTCGGCAAGGATATTTACATTTCTTAAAATCTGATTCATGCACAACATTTATTGAAACATTTTCACTTGTTTCTCAACAATTAAACAAACAAAAGGTTACGTTAAAATTAGAAATGACAAGCTCTGTTGAACCCATTGACCCCAATCTTCTTATCGTTCTCCCTCTTTTCTCAGATGGCAAGGTGGGCCAAATCAAAGGTTTCCATGAGCCAACTTTGGCCCACGGGCCCTAATTTGGGCATTTACGATCAAATAGAACACAAATACATTCAAAGTACAATATGTATCTTACCCAAGGCTGAGTGTACTCTCAGCTGTCTTTATCGAAACTGGTTAAATTGGCAAAATTTACACCCAAACTTGCAGGTTACAGGAATTAACTTTAAAGATTTAACACTTAAAATGCCAAATTTCAATTTTGATATAATTAACACATAGCAAATACAAATATGAACAGTGGTTTCCAATACTTCAAGAGTCCAGGTCAACTCCATGAGCTCTGACTGGCTGGGTAGATCCTGAGGAAACAAATCATTTGGTATACAGAAAAGCAATTTCATTTTTTTGCAGTTTTACTCTGAGGTGGGATGACACTAAGGTCATCATATAATCTAGGTTCTTAAACATTCAACTTTGTTAATAATCAAAAAGACATAAGAAAGGATATGTCTTACTCCATATTGGAAAAATCCATGCCATCATCACATCTATTAACCGTATTGCGCTGGGTGTAGACTGACACATTTCTGCCTTCACTGCAATCTTTTGTATTAGTGGGATAACAATGCTAAAATGGAGTTTTGCCTATATTTCATGTAATAGATTGTAATACTGTATACTTGATCAAGCCAGCTTTCATTTGAGCTGATCCTGTTGTTCTTTTGTGTCCATTGCAGGTATGGAAAAATAGTGTCAACAAAGGCAATCCTGGACAAAAACACCAACCAGTGCAAAGGTGAGTACCGCAGTCAATACTGGCCTGCTTTAAAAACATGCTCACAGATCACAAGTTAAACCATCCTCATATAATGATAAATTTTGAAAGACTCTGTGTAGTCTGGACTAGTGTTGTATGATACTGGAATTTGGTACTAATCAATACAGAAGTTTTAAAAACGTCCATTTTCCACTAACATTTGAGCGCCACTGAGTACGTTCCTAAACAGCACTGATTTGCCATTGTGTTCACGTGCTCAACAGAAATGACTATGATTGTCCATGAAGGTCATCATTTCACCGAACTCACGGCTGTTTAATGAATGTTACCACATATACAGGGACAGTAGAGTGTCTTAAACAGTACTTTCAGTAGAGCATGTGATCACAATGGCAAATCAGTGCTGTTTAAGAACGTGTTCAGTAGCGATTAAATGTTAGCAGCAAATGGACGTCTTTAAAATTTCTGTATTAATTGATACTGAACTCCAGTATCGTGACTACTCTAGTCTGGATGATGTTTAGGACTTTGTTAGCGTGATTATGGGTCAAGTCTTCACTGCCCAATAAGATGTTAGCGTGACTAACAGGGTTTGTCATGGCGAGGAAAAGCGCAAGGTTTCTCCTGTGTTGATTTGAAAAGTCCGGGCCTGGTAGTAGGGCTTTAAAAATAGCCATAGGGGTGAAGGAAGCGTCCGGCTGAAATTGATGATTTAGCAGACAGCCTCTTTTCAGGAAACACTCAGCCAGAGCTGTAAATAAACAGCCTGGCTTCCTACACAATCTGCCAAAATGGATCCTGCAGGTTTTTCTCTTGTTTGTGTGTGTGCGTGCATGCGTCTGTCTCTTTGTCATGCTTTCTCTCCGAGGGCACATCTAATACGTCTAGAAATGAGTATTAATGCCCCCATGAGAAGAGGAGGGGAGAGGGTGTTTGGGAAGCAAAGGAAACCACTCCAGGCTTTAGAGGACTTCCACTTCCTGAAGTTAGCTGCCCTCCTACTCTGCCAGGCTTCTCCACCCTGATGGGCTTCCAGCCAGGACTCATGGGAGCCAAGGAAAACAGACAGGAAACGAACAAAAAAAAGATAGATTCGCTTCATTCACGGCTTTGCCGATTGTACTTAATGCTTGCTTCCGAAAGCATACAGTGCATCCAGAAAGTATTGATAATGCTTCACTTTTTTTCACATTTTTTATGCTACCGCCTTATTTCAAACTGGATTAAATTAATTTATTTTCTCAAACTTCTACACACAATACACCATAATAAAAAATGTGAAAAAATATGTTTTGAAATGGTTGCAAATTTATTTAAAATAAAAAACCTGAAAAATCACATGTACAGAAGTATTTACAGCCTTTTTGCCGCTCTAAACTGAGCTCAAGTACATTCTGTTTCCACTGATCATTCTTGAGATGTTTCAACAGCTTAATTGAAGTTCATCCGTGGTAAATTCAGTTGATTGGACATGATTTAAAAAGGCATAAACCTGCCTATATAAGGTCCCAGGGTTAACAGTGCATGTCAAAGCACAAACCAAGCATGAAGACAAAAGAATTGTCTGTAGACCTCCGAGGCAGGATTGTCTGGAGGCACAAGGATGGAAAGGTTACAGAACAATTTCTGCTGCTCTAAAAGTTTCAATGAGCACAGTGGCCTCCATCATGCGGAAGTTTGGAACCACCAGTACTCTTCCTAGAGCTGGCCGGCCATCAAAGCTGAGTGATCGGGAAGAAAACCCTTAGTCATGGAGGTGATCAGTAACCCAATGGTCCAGTGTTCTTCTGTGGAGAGAGGAGAACTTTACAGAAGGACAACCAGCTGTGCAGCAATCCACCAATCAGGCCTGTATGGTAGAGTGGCCAGACGCAAGCCACTCCTCGCATGGAAATTGCCAAAAGGTATCTGCAGGACTCTCAGACCATAAGAAACTAAATTTTCTGGTCTGATGAAGCTAAAATTAAACTCTTTGGAGTGAATCACCAGGATAATACCATTCAGCAGTAGGAACTGGAAGACTAGTTAGGATAGAGGGAAAGATGAATGCAGAAATGTACAGAGACATCCTGAATGAAAACATGCTTCAGAGTGCTCTTGACCTCAGACTGGGGCAACGATTAATCTTCTAGCAAGACAATAACCCAAAGCACACCACCAAAATATCAATGAAGTGACTTCACAACAACTTGGTGAATGTCCTTGAGTGGCCCAGCCAGAGCTTAGAGCTAAATCCTATTGAACATCTCTAGAGAGATCTGAAAATGGCTGTACATCGTCGCTTCTCATCCAACCTGATAGCTTGAGAGGTATCAGTGAATGAGCAAAAATATCCAAAAACAGGTGTGCCATATTTGTGGCATCATATTCAAAAACACTTGAGGCTGTAATTGCTGCCAAAGGTGCATCAACAAAGTATTGAGCAAAGGCTGTGATACTTATGTACATGTGATGTTTCAGGTGTTTTATTTTTGATAGACTTGCAACAATTTCTCTTTTTGTCAGGGTTTTCACCTTTAATGGATAGGACAGTAGAGATTATTGACAGAAAAGCATGAGTAGCAGAGAAAGGGGAAGGATCTGTATTGGAATCGAACTCGGGTCGCCGTAAGCACCGGAGTGCATGTGTCGACGCACTAACCACTACACCACTGGTGTCGACAAACCTGCAAAAATTAAAAAAACAAAAACAAAAAAAAAAACATTGTCATTATTGTGTGTAAAATTGGAAATAATTTAATCCATTTTGCAATAAGGCTGTAGCATAAAAAGAAAATGTGGAATAAATGAAGTGCTATGAAAACTTTCCAGATGCACTGTATGCAGTATTCATTCCAAAGTTATATTGATTGATTACAATTGCGGGACTGTAATCAGCTGTACAGTAGATTCATCCCATATGATCGAGCAGACCATCAAGAGCTGTTTACAATGAAGTTTGTTTGGTCGTTTTGCTCCTTAAGACTATTTGTAAGTTGTCAAGCTCTGCCACGTTTTTAATCAATGCTCTTATATGGATTGTTGGCCGTTTGTTAAACACACGTTTAAATGCCTGTTTACTTTGTGTGTTTTACATTACGCAACTGGACTCTGTAATTATGGACTTGTTTGTGCAAAAAAAGACATTTTCAGTTTCATTTTTTTTCTTCCGAAACAGATGGAGAGGGTGACAGTTGTGGGCAATGATGAGGGTGTGTTTGATTTTCTTTTTGACTCAATCACGAGACTCTCATTAAATGAAGTGAGCGTAAATATTTGTGTGTCGTGTGACACGCCAACAAACTCTCTCTTTCACTACCTCGCTTTCCTTTTCTAATTGGAATTACGTGCACAGGAAGAAGACAGTCTCTTGTTTTTTTTCCCCACAGCATTGAAAGATGGAGCCAAAAAATAAAGAGAGCGAAAACATGCACGAGCTCATTTGAGGCACATTTGTATTTATGGATTTAATTATGTAAAGCTTCCCAGGCAAAACCTCATGTGCGTGATGTCTACACACGAACACATGCTTTTTATCTTTTTCACCTCTCTATCGAGCTCATTTTCCGACCTGTTCCGGTTCTGGGCGTCACGATGTTAATAGGAATTGATCTCTGCATTCTTCAAGTTGAAACCTCTTTCTCAGCCCACTTCCTGATGGCTGCTGTTTAGCTCTCTTGGTCAGTGACCTCAGGAATGCTCGCAGCCATCTCTTAAACCAGAAGTGTTCCTCTCTCTGGATCAAGAACAGTCTACTGGAAATCCTTTTTCACACACACGCTCTGTTTTCTTAGGCTTATGAAACATCTGCAGTCTTTGGAACATCTGGATGGCTCAGTTCTCCGCTGTAGAGATTTCTCTCCCTCTCCGTCTCGCGTCCATGTTTACCGTGAGGCTTCAAAGCGCATGGCATGTTGTTCTATATGTAAGGTGTGTGTGAGCGCGTAAATGAACACATATGTCTGGCATATAGAGCTGTTGGCTTCAACCATTTGCGGGCTCTCCAAAGCTCCGCGTTCTGCCATCTGTGGTTTCGAATGTCAGTCAGGCTTTGAAAGTGTGTGTGTGTTTAGAGTTTAGAGAGGCTTATGGTGAGAATGCCTGCACCGAATGAAGACACACTGCCTCAAATGTGCCTCACAAGTACTGAGGGTCTTTAAGAACCTCCGCCACAGCAGATTTTATTAAGATATGCTGTAAAGGAAATCATGGATCTTCTCTCTCACTTACTGCCAAAGACATGTTTGGTTAAAGAGCTGGGTGGCGAAATGAACCCTGCTGGAAAAGGAGCTATGTTTAAAACATGGTAACTGCTTTGTAGCTGGTCAAAACTGCCTATTACCTGGCTGACCAGGAACCATGTATGATATATACTTTTAAATATAATAAAAAATATTTTGCATGTATAAAATATATAGAGATAATTACTTGGATAATTCATTAGTTAATTACAGGAACTAACAATTAAGGCCTTGAAACAAAGAACTATATTAGTTCATATTGTCAAATTTTGAGTAATACGATTAGTTTAATTTGGATTGTGAACATTATATAATATATTTGTATTTACCTACACAAGACAGACAACAAAAGCTTCTCAATTCTAAGGAGATAACCATTTTTCAGTGTCCGTGTTAAAAATCAAAATTTGTTACGATTTTATATTTGTCAAATGTGGAAGAATGGTATATTACGACATTATGTTAGTGTGAAATAACAGTATAACTCCAATTCATCATATCACTTTAAAATCACTAAAGATCTGACTCCTTCATTTAGTTTTAACAGTAATAGAAACTTCAGGTTAATATTAGGCATTTCTTTCAAGTTTACTATTATGAAAATTATTATTATTATTATTATTATTATTATTTAAAAACAGAAAATACAGTCACACTTTATTTTGATGGTCCGTTTGTTGAATTTGTTACATTGCATCTATATGCCGACTAATTCTCATTAGATAATGTGTAGACTGTTAGGTTGAGGTTAGAATTGGGGTTAGTGTTAGTGTAAGTTGACTTGTACTTGCAAAGTTTCGTTGTCAGTTAAATGTCTGTTTATGCGCAGAATCAACAGTTATTAAGCAGAGTCTACTAATGCTCTAATGGACCATCAAAATAACGTGTTCACGAAAATACAGTAGGAACAATGTACAGTACATACACCTCCTTACAGTACAGGCAATAATAATCTATTATTAACAATGAAGAAATGCAACAATAAATACATATGCAGACATATGTTATAGATAAATATTGTTGTTTATTTAGAAAAGCTGGTGCAGCGCACCTGTGTATATACTTTTTCAAACTGTTCTCGTGCACCTGTATCTATAAATTTTCATTTTCATAAATGGACATAAATGTTTTTTCCGCATGATGCTATTTTAATGTTTAAAATGTGACTCTTGGTCGTGCGAAAATATCCCCAACTGTTTCTGTATGCAAAGTTCACACATAATTCATCTCACATGGTTATCTACTTTTATTTTATTTTATATTTTATCTCAGTAAGCGTGTTATAAAAAAAATATTAATAAGTTTTAGATTATTACAATACATAAATAATTAATATATTTTTTTATCATTTAGCCCCTTTGGCAGTTTGCTTTAAAAAAACACATATACAATACATACATTTGTCTGTTTTTACACTGCAAAAAAAAAAAGAAATCTTAAACATTAGATTTTTTTGTCTTGTTTCTAGTCAAAATATCTAAAAATGCTTAAATCAAGAAGCTTTCTAGACAAGCAAAACATATTGTCCTGTTTTAAGAAGTAATGTGTCAAAACAAAGTGAGTTTTTCCAGCAAACTAATCTGCCAATGGGGTAAGCAACACAACACAATCTTATTTTTTCCTTTGACATAATATTATTTTGCTTTTCCCTTCGGAAGATCATTTTTGCTTAATTCTAACATATTTTTCTTAAAACAGCAAGACAATTGACAATGTTTTTCTTGTCTAGAAAATGCTTCCTGATTTAAGAATAAAAAATAGAATAAAATAAATAATTGAATACTCTCACACCCCTGTTGTCTTTATTTTAAAGTTGTGAGCTTTAGAAAAAATCTGATACTTTTTGTGTTGTGGAAGAAATAGTATGAAGATGATATTATAAAAATGGTCTATGCAACATGTGCTCCATATTCCAAATACTTTTTGAATTATTGTGATGGCTTTGTGTGAGGAAAATAAGTAATTTTGAATCAAACTAACTATTTTGGTTATAGTTTTCCTATCCATTTTGGTGTCCAAACTCGCTCCTGGAGGGCCGGTGTCCTGCTGAGTTTAGCTCCAACTTGCTTCAACACACCTGCCAGGAAGTTTATAGTATATCTAGTAAGAGCTTGATTAGTTGGCTTAGGTGTGTTTGATCAGGGTTGGAGCTAAATTCTACAGTTTGGTCACCCCTGTACTAAAAGCTAACTGCTACAACTCGATCATTGACTATGCAACTTAGTCTAATTTAAGCCATTCTGTCCAGTTTCAGTTCATTAAAATAAGTGATTGTTTTATGAATCATTCAAGAACAGAATAAGAGCATTCTAGCTCTCTTTTTACTCTTTATTTTTCCAATAATTCTTTAGATTTTATCTTTCATTAATGATTAAATTAATAAAATGATTCGGTCTGATTTACTAAATTTTAAGATAAATGGTTACACGCAATAAAAAATGGGCTGAATTTTCTTTGCAACCATTTATCTTAAAATATATTTAGTAAATTAAGAGTAAATCCAATGAATCCTTTTTTAGTGTGCAGTATATATGAAAAATAGGCCTTTTGCATTCCACGGAAGAGCGCCATGTGAATTTGCAGCGAAATAAGGATGAATAAATACAATCAGAATGTTCATTTTTGGCTGAACTCTTCCTTTGAGCTGGATTTTGCAGCAGGGGTGAGGTCAGGCTAAATCTTTCTCTGTCCTGTTACTGAGGAAATAGTTGACAAGCGTGAGCCTAGAACAAAATGGCCGTTTCCTGTCTCTCCAAGCACACACACACACACACACAAACCCACACACAGACACTAGCGGCTGTGCTCAAACATGCAGACTCTCTTGTGTCGCCATGATCAGCATGATAAGACAAACAACAGAGCGCTCTTGTTTTGACCCGTGAATTTAACTCTGATAAATGTGTCTGATAATGTCTGATTAATGTCTGATAAAGAAGTCTCCAGCTTTTTGGCAAAATACTACGAAATATGTGTAGAAATAAGCCTTATCTGACTCTGTACATGTGTGTGTGTGTGTGTGTATAGGATATGGCTTTGTGGATTTCGACAGTCCGGCAGCGGCGCAGAAAGCTGTAGCGTCCCTGAAGGCCAGCGGCGTGCAGGCACAGATGGCAAAGGTAAGCTAGGCTTTACACCGTGTCTAAACCAGGTGCGCAGTGACTTTCTAGCATCGAGTCATTTATTCCTGGAGAAAAAGAAATATTGTGTGAAGCAACACAATTATGGGTACATAACGTTTGATGTTTAATAGACAGCTGTGAGCTGTAGATTTTGTACCTAATAGATTTCACTGTGGACAGAGCTACACTGCACATTCCGGAATAGAGACACATGATGAAAATGATACTAATGAATGGTAATAATGTGAGAGAACTAAAACAAACCCAGCTGAAGGTACTGATATGCAGTTTTTTATCCTTCTTTACTATAGAAAAGGAAATACTTCAGGTACCATTTAGATGAACGTTATTAATAATACATTTTATTTAAAGCGCACTTCAAGAAATTCAAGGTCTGTACAACATATATATATATATATATATATATATATATATATATATATATATATATATATATATATATATATATAATTCAACAATTTAAAAATGTACAACATGTACATTTTAAATAGTTGAATTGTATATATATATACCCGACAGTAAAAAAATGTTGAAAATTATAAAATACAAAGATAAAATACATAATGTAGTAGTGCAGTTTCTAAAGAGTAAGTTATTTTGAACAAATGAGTTTTAAGTCTGGATTTGAACTGAGGGAGGTATTCAGTGTTGTGGATGTCAGGGGGTAGAGAATTCCAGAGTTTGGGAGCAAAGCGACTGAAAGCTGTGCTCCCTATTGTGCTGAGACGGGCAAAGGGGACAGAGAGGTGGATGGAAGAGGACGATCTAAGAGAGCAGGAATGAGTGGTGATATGGAGGAGATCAGTAATAAGATGGTGCAAGGTTATGGATGGCCTTGAATGTATGCGGGAGGATTTTATATTCAACTCTGGGTTTGGAAGCCACTGCAAATCTTGTAAAATGGGGGTGATATGGTGAAAATATGTACTCAATATGTTCTGTGAGCTTTATTTTCAGTAATAAAAATAACAAAAATGGTAGCGGTGTGAAAACTGCAATTAAGAAACCAAGGAAAATTAAGGGATTCATTAATTAGATTAAAATTTGGTCATAATTTACTTTCTGCCTATTGCAAACCTGTTTGGGTTATTTTTTTCTGTTAAAAAGAAGTCAATTTGAAGATAGTTTCCAATTAAATGGGCCTCTGAAATCAGATTTTTTTTTTTTTACCAAAATTCCATTACATTTTTTCCATTATGCTTTTCAAGTTTTATTTTTTCTGGATTCTTTTTTATTTCTTTATTTATTTCTTCTTCTTCTGTTTCAATTATTCTGTACTGTTTAGTAAACAAATGGTATGTTTGAAAGTATTGATCAGAAGCTGTATTTAATTTGACAACAATTTGTCAGGAGCTTTACTTTTATGAGCCATGTGCAATGTTCAAAAGCTCAAATGAATCCAGATGTATATTTTGAGAGGTTATAGGGGGAGATAACCTTCTTCTTCTTCTTCTTTAAAAGAACATGTTTGTGTTCGACAGAAGAAAGTAATTTATACAGGTTTTAAACTTCTTGTAAATGATTAAAGGAACAATGAGTAAATTTTTATATTTGCATACACATACCCTTTTAATCGGAGAATACTTTTATGTCAATGAAGGTGTTGCTCCAGTCTTGCAGTGGTAATTTTGAGGTGTGTTTACACACTATACTGGGTGATTCACACAATTCCTCATGTTGTCCCAACACAAATCGATTAAGTTAACTTCATTATTTTTACAAATTTAGGTGGATTGAACCAGTTGTGTAGTCAGAGCCATATGTACATATACTCTGCCTACTTTTTTTCCCGGGGTTGTTTGAGTATTACGTTTTCTGAGGATCAATAATTTTTGACTTCTGAGGATTCAGTAAATTGTTATTTTCAAATCAGTAATTATCAGATCTTATTTTTGGTCAATTTCCCTAATGGACAAACAGCTTTAGTTAATGCATGCCTTCACTTTCGTATTCTACATGAAACGTAGATTTACCGGTAGGAGTGACATCCTTATTGACACTCCTAATTCTCTCTTCATATACCCATAATACACTGTAAAATCACCTTGTTGGTTGGATCGTATTGCTTTCTCCATACAATCGATCCGCTGCAGAGTTTGTTTCAATCAAGCCGAGATTGCCTCATTCAGGCGATCTCAGACTGATTGTTTTGGGGCGAATCAGAGAGTAATTGCTGGATTTAAAAATTCCAAATGAATCGTGCTAAGGAGGCAAACGTGCCAGGTTCCGTAACAAATGTCTAGATATAAAACACCCTTATTTTGTTTCAACTGGTGCATTTTTGTTTAAATTAAATGAGTTTTTTGAAGAGGAAAAGTCAGCTGAATAATGTCTCGCTAAAACATTCAGGTAAAATTTTAAAACAGTATTTGTAATTGTTTTAATCATGCCTACCGCTAATGTTTGTCTTTTATTCTTCTGTTAAACAAAAAATATATTTTAAAGAAAAAATATAAACCATTGAATTCCATATTATTTGTTTTTCCTACTGTGGAAGTCAGTCGTTATTGTTTGGGTGGGTAATAGTGCACCACCTTTTTTTTAGGACTACACCACTTTATTGAACATAGAACACAAGTCTCCCCCCCCCCAAAAAAAAAAAAAATAAAAATTTAAGAATTGTATTGTTTCAACTAGTTTTTAATAAGAAGCTTTAACAAGCTGGAGAAAAGTTTTACTGAAAATTGATTTGGCAAGTTGTTTTAAATTTGTTTTGACCACAGTTTGCTCAATGTTCTGCTCAATGTTTCTTATATAAGTAAACAGTAAGTTTATTGAGGCATGTAGGTTGTTACCGGGTCTTCCATAATTGACAAACTAGTTTTGTTGATCTGTTTTAGTATGGTTGTCAGGCTGGAAACCAATGCAAATCAACTGCTAAGAAAAAAATTTGACTAGACTGGCAGACTAGCTTAAGTCAGTTTAGACTAGCAACCCTTAAGCTGGCGTTCTTGGTTTTGTTTTGTTTTTTATTTTTCCACCAGAAAGGAATGTAAATACAGAGTATGTTGCTTCTAATTCTGATTATGGAATCCATGATGGCGATAATGATTTTCAGGAAGATGTTGATGACAGCTGATGTGGTGAACATCTGCGGAGGAAGTTTACACGTGATTCAATGGAAGTGCTTGAAATGGACTCATGAAGCTTCATGTCCAGTGTGTGCATTCAGACGCACGCACGCACAGTTGTTTAAAGCATCTGTCCTCTAATATTCATAAGCTTGCGGGCTGTCAGGATGCAGATGGTTTGTGTATCTGAAATCCCATTTAAATGCATGCCTGTCAGAGCTCTCCGCAACGCAGCGGGCCTCATATGAAACAGACAGGTCATCTTACAGAGAGGAGGAAAGGGAGGCGGGGAGTAAGAGAGAGAGAAGTAGAGTGATTTAGCTCATGTTTGCATGTTTCCTGTGGTCTGACTAATAGAATTTACCATTTAAATTAAGTCCAGTCGACATCCTTTGTTGTGTAATGCTGATTACCACCATAACATGTTTAGAAAATGTAAAGAACAAAACAAAAAATCTAAATTAGTTCAACACAATATTGGTAGAAATACTGTTTATTTTGCTTAACTTGCATTGAACCCTAGATATTGCTTTAGTGCGCTTGGCTTGTAGGGTAAAACTGTTTTCCAAACTGCATCTAATTGATAAGAAGAGCAGTTAATCATTTTGGAGGCCATTCTTAGGATCTGTTCCAAAAACCAGTGAGCCGCTGCTTAATAAGATACCTTCAAAAAGTACTGTACTGTATCTTCCTCAGATGAGGAATTCAAAATATCCACTGAAATAAAAAAAGAAAATGTTGTTGAAATTACCTTCAAATGTTTTTGAAAGAAGTGAATTATTATGCTAATCAGGGCTGTTTTTATTTGATTAATAATACAGCCAAACCAGTAGGGTTGGGTCGATAGAGGTTTTGTGAGTGCTTTGAGCACAAAACCCCAGAGAGCTCTGCAGGTCTGAAAGTTTATCAAGGATATACCGCTGGATTGGGTCTCACTATAGTTATTAAACGTGATATTTTATTAATCTTGTCTCTATTTAACGACTCTTCTGTCTTTTGAATCTATCAGGTAACGTGTCACTGCATTAAAACATCGTCCATCGCAATGTTTCACATTAGACATCGTACAATGCCAAACTGGTCGACATCGCCCAACCCTACAAAGCAATAATGTTAGGAAATGCTAATTAAATTATTAAGAATTAATTTCTATTGGTAAGGGTATTCGTGGGGTCTTATAAATCTTAAAATGTCTTAAAAAAAATTTTAGGCCTTAAAAAGTCTTAAATCTACTAAAATATTGAAATGTTAAATATTTTTTAACGGGTCCAAATTTTTCTTTGTTCATGTATAACTCCCCAATCTAGCCATTAACACTCACACAATCAAAAAAAACAATCCCATTTTCAATAAAACTTTTTTATATTAAAATAGCATTTTAACCGTGTTTATCATGTTTTAATTACTTTCCTTACAGTTACATTTATTTAAAAGTTCTCCATTTATTTGCTGCTGAGGATACTGACCTGACCTATATATTTTTTTACTATTACATTATTATTTATGTATTGCATTTAACTTTATCTAAGTCCAAAATTTCCTTCATAATGGTCTTAAAAAGGTCTTAAAAAGTCTTACATTTAACTTGGTGAAACCTGCAGAAACCCTGCTGTAACTGTGTTAATTTCTATTGTGTTTTATGTTTTTTGTCTATTTACGGTTGTGAATTTCATAATGGGACCTTGATCTCTGCTCTGTCGACTTTAATTCAACTCTACAGTTTAACAAAGTGACTTTTATTGGCATTTTAGTAGCTTGAAATAATATAATGTATAAGATATAACATATAGAGCTTGTTACGAGGTGTTTGCAGCATAAAATACAACATCAACCAAGACAATAAATCAGAATTATTCAAAATATGCAAAATTATATTCAATACAAAAGTTAGTATTTGTGTTTTAT